TTGGTACTTCGTTCCAGTTTACGTATTGCTGTAAAATCCACTGACAAAACCGCAGAATGATATCTCTAATAGAATTTCAAAACAATTTGAGAAAATGTGCGAGCAAATCGCTACATTTAGCAGCGTATATCTCGAGAACAAAATGTTCAAATCTCAAAGCCGAAACAGTATTGTAAAGTACGCGTTTGTGTCTAAAGCAGTTTATAAAATAATCAAATCGGTTATCAAATTTTTTTTTTCGTCAAAAATTTCCTCAAGCATCCTAATGATTTTGTCAAAGTGAAAATGTCTCGGGCCACGTGTATACTGCAGTGAGCGTATGCACTCCATTCCTACCAGCCTTTAGGAGTTCATCTGTTCTACGTATGGATGGCCCTGCTAGAATTGTCTTGGCATGTTCCATTCTGGGACTGTCATACCAGTCCCGAATTGTCGCACCCCTAACCCATTCACAGACCCTATCTCTTGCGAGATTTTTTGACACGCTAAATGTCGGTTCTAGGCCCACAAATGGCAAGCCTGCGCCAGTTTCGGCGAGGGATTCAGCACGTTCATTTCCCTCTAGGCCGACATGTCCCGGTATCCATCCAAGACAGTGGTAGATCTCAGTCTTTGGACTGCTGCAGTAAATTCCTGCGCCAGATCCTTATAACGGTTATATTAGACATATCTGCTAAAAACTAAAATGTCCTCTGAATAGTTGTTATATTTTAGACAGGGGGAGATATACTTCCTGAAAATGTAATAATTACTAGTAAAAAGCCATTGACAAGCTCTTTAACGTTTGGTTGCAACGCAAATATACGCTATATACGCAAGATACGATAATTTATTATCAATAAGTGTTTTATTATTTACCTGAAATTACTTTTAAATTGGATGAATTATTCGTGCCTACATGTTTGAAATAATAATTATCGATAAATGAGTCCATTAAGAGAGCTTCGGTTTATAAAATTCGATATATTAATTTAAACAACCTATTTAACAGTTGTTGTTAATCAAAATAATTACGTACTGACAGCATTTATAAACGAATGTTTTCTATTGAGAGGGTGCTTTATCTGGATGGTCATAAATTATTGTTTCAGTGTAAATATCAAATATGATTAAAATATTATTAATAATACCATTTCCTCGGCCCTATAGCAATTTCGGCCCGCCAGCGAATTTCGATTTATATTAATTCAACATTAAATTATTTACAACATTGGGCTTACGTGCTTAATGCGCTAATATTGACAATATTTCATTCCATTTCGGTATGGAAAAATAATTAATTAATAGCGAATTAATAACGGTTTTAAGTTTTAATCAAATTTTAATATATTTTTGATGTTTTTGAGCTTTAACATCAGTGTTTTTTTCTACACGGAGAAAATAAATGAAAATGTTTAACCGATAGTATATTTTAACCTCAGAAACACACCTATAAGATTTAGCTGCAAACAATTTTCAAAAAATTTACATTTTTTTAATATTCTCTGAAATTTTAAAAACTATTCAATGTCGCACGTTCGCTCTCCTGAAATATCAGAGGGTGTATAGAAGATTTGCAATATTAACACTTAAGTACATTCTGTATATTTGTGTGTTTAAAATTTTATAGTAATTTTAATTTTCTGCACCATAAATTATAAAAATTAACTTCAATTATCTCAGCGAAATTACTAATTTTTCTAATAAAACGCACTGTGCTTATTTTTTGCCGTACTAATACTTTACTACTAGTACGAGAGCTAGCAACGTCGGAAAATAGTATTTTAAGACGTTTGGCTTGATATCTCTCCTTTTATACTTTCGAGACGGCATGCGGCCCGTCTGGCTGCCGGTAAACGTTGCAGTTCTTTAGTGCGCATTGAAAGAAGATCCTATATTTTAGTCTTTTCAATTAGTATTGATTATAAATCGATATACGAATGCTGCTTAGCGCAGTGCGAGTTTCCGACCACGAGAGAATGATTCTGAAAGTTTCAAATCGGGTCCAGGGCAAATATTTATTTTATTTTCGTTTATATTCTGATAGTAAAGTATTAAATATTTGTTTTTTTTTAAATTACCAGAATTATTTAATGCTTTACTATCAGAATATAAACGAAAATAAAATAAAAAAGTATTTGCCCTGACCCGGATTCGAACTCTGAATCATCGGTTCGTGGTCGGAAACCCTACGCACTGCGCTATGGAGACATGTTCGATTTATATTCAATACTAGAATTTATAGAACCAAATTAATAAAAAAATATAGGATCTTCTTCCGATGCGCAGTAGTGAACGCAACGGGTATCGGCAGCCAGACTTGGCCGCATGCTGTTCCAGAGCATAGTAAAAGATATATTAAAGAGCCAGACGTCTTAAAATACTTTCTCGAAAACGTTGCTAGCTCTTAGACTATACGGTTACTGTGTCTACGGTTATTTAAACTAAACTCAAAAAATACATATTATCAATTATTGCAAACCTTCGTGTGATGTCCATGTATATCTCCCCATGGCAGTGGTGGCGAGTCTATGACACGCGTGTCAGTGCTGACACGCGAGCTCATTTTTGGTGACACGCATCTTCAAAGATAAAAAATTTAATAATTCAAATAGCCACAGGGTAGAAAAAACTATCATTATAATTAATTATAGAGAGATTGAAATGGATAGAACATTTCCAGACATTCCAATCAATTTCCAAAAAAGTATTTTTCTCGAATTTTAAACTACGCCATTTAAAAATCATTGTAACTCAATGCCAACTGACAGTAAGTTCCATTAAAAAATAAGAAAGAGTAAGGGCCAAGGAAATGACATCAAGGGCTTGACCTCGCCAAAATTATCATCGATTGTCATTCCTCAGCCATCTTTGACGCCGTTTTTTTAGATCGTATTGTAGAAAGGTTTTAAGTTAATCCAAAATATTATATAACACGTTGCTAAACAATTAAAAGTTCTGAAACTATTGGATTGTAATTTTAAAGTTTTTAATTTTAGAAAATTATTGCCTAGACAATAAAGAAACAGCTTTATGGAATTCTAGTAAAAAGAAGACCTATTTTAAACTTTTCAATTACGATGTTTATAATATAATTGAAAGTTCATAATTTAATCTATGCTGATTGGTTTATGTAGACTCTGTTTAAAGTAACAATTTTTTTTGTAATGTGAGTTTTCATTCACGGATTTATTCTGTTATTCTTGATCTTAAGGAGAAAGTAGATAAATATTGTTAAGTTAAATTCACTTCGGGTTTTTAGCATTTTTCTGACATGCTATTTTTAACCAATGTTTTAGTAAATAAGAAATAGTATGGCAATACCGCATATTCCTTTAAATACAAATAGTGTACTATATGCAGAATTTCATGTTGAATCCAATTTTGTACAGGAAAATGAAGATTCCTTGTCCATTACTTTTTTTGGAATACCTCGTATACCACAAACTGTTTTTAAGATATGCATGCCAAATATTTTTGCCTTATAATCACAGCATTTAAAAACATTTCACACAAATATTAAATAAATTGTCAAAAAATCAAGTATATTAAAGTACAACCAAGATCCTTATCCAGAAGAACTTACGGTTTGCGCTCGCTAAAAAGAAAGCAATCAGGAAGGCCATCAGAAGAGAACAAACTAAAACAGGAAAAATAACGCTTGAGCAAAAATTTTACCGGAAATACCGGAAATGCCAAAGGACATTAGTATTTTAATGCTTTAAGAGTCTATTACGTTGTACTGTTCGGGTCGCTTTCAGGGGTCGGATAAAGCGGGTGTGTGACCGAAGGAACCGTGCAACATTCGAACATTTTTAAACCGTGCTACATTTATGTAAAACCTTTTTTTCATATATTTGTCAACAACGATGATATTCGACTTTCTAGCCCTAATGGGTCACCCTTTATGTAAAAAAGGTACCGGGTGCGTCTCGAAAGTACCTCACCCCTATAACTTAACTATTTTTGTTTTCAGATAAAAAAAAACGAGATTTGGTATGTTAGTATATTCCAGAAATTAGGATTGATTGACGTATTCAGTTGTTTTTGGTCACTTCCTATTGCACCGGAAATGACTACAACTTTACTACTACAACTAATTTTTAAGTAGCACTAAAAAATAAAAAAGCTATAGGGGTGAGCCAGTTTTTAAGACCCATCCGGTATTTATAAAAGAGCTAATTTTGTCTTCATGAATTTATGTATATCGTTGACTATAAAATATCCAGAAAGGGGATCATTTGTTCTCAAAATTTTCTACGGCCAATCTAAACGATGTCTTTAATTGATGCCGGGCTGAAAAAGCCATCCGAATCCGAACGGGAATTCACAGAAGTCTCTGATTTACCGACGAGGATTATTAATGAATCCTTCAAAGGTTCATCTCTCAGTC